AATTTTTACCAAACACACCCTTAGTGTCATCATAGCCACTGAAATTGATTTTGATTCATCATAGCTACTATACTTTATACCTAGTGTTACAATGACTACCCAAATTGCTTTTGATTCACCATGATCACCCAAAACGCTTTTGTCAAATAACCAAATTATTATCACAACAAAAAAAATAAATTAAAAACTAAAAAAATTTACACGTAACTTTTATCGCAACAAAACAGAGGGAAGAGAATCAGCAAAAAAAAAAATTAAAAAACACACAACATGATAATAATTATAAACACTTTTTAAAAAATTATATGAAAGTAGAAACGATCTTTTTTTTCCTGTTCAAACACAATATATACAGTAATCAAACATGCTTTTTACCGAGTAAAAAAGAATAAAAAAATCCACTAGTCCAACTTTAAAAAATATAATATACATGAAACCAAACCAAGAAAAAAAATTGTTTCTACTTTCATATAATTTTTTTTATCTTTCAATAATTATTATCATGTGTGTGTTTTTTCCTGATTCACATTTTTCTTTTCTTTTTGGGTAATAATTATGTGTGAAATTATTTATTTATTAAATTTGTAATGTGGTAATAATTGGATGACTTGTCTGAAATGTTATATGAAATTGGGTAATCATGGTTAATGAAAATCAATTTGAGTGGCCATGGTAATATTAAACACTTGCTTGATCTCCATTTTTTTTTTCCCTAAGAACACATTTTGGAATAATAAATTGATAGAAAATAAGTGGTTAAAAATAAGGTAATGTTTTGAGTTTGCGTGTAATATTATTTTATTAAAAAATGTTTAGTTTAAAAAAATATATATACATTTTGAAAAATACAGTGGCCACGGTGGATCAAAATCAATTTGGGTAATCGTGATGACGTTAAAAGTATAAAACAATCATACTACATGTACATCTTGTTTTACATCTTTATACACTTAGGACCCGTTTAAACCGAATTAAAATTCTATTTTAATCAAAATCAAAATCAAACAACCAATATTAATCACATTTTTATAAGTCGCACATCTTTTCAACCACACATTTTAAAAATTATATCACAATCCAATCCTCCCAAATAATTCAGCATAAAATACAGTGACCATTAATGGATTTAATCCTTTATAATATGGTTGAAAGTTGAACTTTTCTTCTGGAATGTTGGTGCATTTTGCAACACAGTACCTCTGTATCTAAATGTCAAAATTGTCCTTTTACCTCTCCTCCGTCTTCCCTATAAGTCCATGTCATTCTTCAACAAACACTAGGTTTTCTTTGCAAAAATCCCAACTCAGAACGGAGGTGAAACAGAGAGCTGGGAGGTTCTTAAGGGTGGTTACCCCTCTCTATTTGCCAATGATTTCTTCACCCACAAAAACCAACAGCCCTCTCAGGCTGCAAATATATATTCTCTTGAAAACACTGTTGGTCCATGAAATAAACTTGTAGCCAAGTTTCATCCATTGGTATCCTATCTTCTTGTTTTGCCTTTTGAAAACGAAGCTCAGTTTCGGTGTTCTTGCTGCAGCTACTACGTGTAGGCTGTGATGATTATTGTTTTTGAGTTGGGTCGGGCATGGGGAAATCTGGCCCGTATCTTGGCGGGGCGAACCCGGATGGCATCTGGAGAGTAGCTCTCTCTTGATTACGCAACTGGGTTTCTGCAGCCATGGCGGTGTTTCACTCTCTTTGCCTGCTCTGTTTGCAGATCTGAGCCTTGTGGATAAAAAAGTGTTCATATGTAAAGCAAATAATAGGCGTACATTATTTACTTGTAAGCAAATTGAATAATGCTACTTGCAGTCGTTGATTGCAGCAGTCGTCCTTTATGACACAGTCAAATGTGTATTTGATGCATTAAATATGGTTAAAAATTACCATATTAATGCATGAAATAACTACATGTCATATGTGTGTCACATACGACCGTGAACGACTGTAACTAGCATTAATCAAGCAAATTAGCTAGACAAGCACTTTAAATTCTTTGCAAAATCCCGACTCAGGAATGAGGCGATCAAAGGATTGCAAATGATTTCTCAGCCCTTTTACGCCGCAGTCTCCTCTTCTATCCTCTCCACTCCTCTCTACTGTGGGCGACTGTGTGTATATATACCGGTTAAAAACACGGTTACTCTCGCAACTTATATGCTGAGGCTACTACAAATTCCGTGTAGGCTGTGATGATTATTTTCTTTCAGTTTGGTTGGGCATGGGAATCTGACCCGTATCTTGGTGGGGCGAACCCTGTTAGCATCTGGAGAAGAGAGATAGACCGTCTTCTTTATTTCTCTTGCATATGCAACTGGGCTTTTGCAGCCATGATGGTGTCTCACTCTCTTTGCCGGTTGTATTTGCAGATCTGAGCCTCACAAGTCACAATTTCATTATTCTAGAACTTTTTTACCTATTTCTTTTTTTTAGCTTAGCCATCATGATCCTCGTCTTCCTAGCAAAAAATTTAACACAAGAATAAGGCAGAGCGATGGATGATCGAAAGGTTTTTCTTGAAAAAATCCGAACTGATGAAGGAGGCGAATTACAGAGAGATGGGAATTTCTAAAGGGTGGTTGCCCCCTCTCTATTTGCCAATGATTTCACCAAATACAAAAACCAACTGCCCTTTTATGCCCCAACGTTATCTGTACTCAGTTCTCCATATTGAGTGTATATATTCAGGGAAAATTTCACTCATAGTCGCTGTAAGTTTAAGTGAAGACCCAAAGCTAAATTACTGTAATTCAGCTCGGAAGGGAAGAATGAGGTTAGCAGAGATTGAGAATTCTTAAAGGGTGGTTGCCTCTATCTGTTGAACCGATGATTTCCCCCATAAAAATCAACAGCCCTTGAGAAACAAGAAACAGAAATTAATTTTGTATGATGACCATTTAATCTTTGATGGAATCGATCCCTCTGCAAAAATCAATAAACGCGCACATCTGCTATTATGCTTAGGGGCTGTGACGATTATTCTTGATTCTTCTGAGCTGATGAATTGGGCATTGAGATGAACTGATCCCGTATCTTGGCAGGGCACCCGGGATGGCATGTGATTTTGTGATCTTCACAGGCAACCGGTGATTTTGCAGCCATGGCGTGGTTATATTCTCCTTGTCCGATTACAAAGACAATAGATCTGAGCCTCAATTTCTTTCCCTGCTTAGTTTTTTTTTTATTTAACTTCTCTAATTCCTTATGGATTCAGCAATCCTATTGTTTGGGAGAAA